CTGTGTCCCATTCTCTGGAGCAGCAGAAATGAAGCTTGCTCCATCCTCAATAGGACATCCCTTCAAATACTTAAACAGGGCTAGCATATCCCCTCTTAAAAACCATCTCTTCTCCAGGCTAAACATCCCCAGCTCCCTAAGTCCTTCCTCAAAGGGCTTCATGGTTTCCAGACTCTTCACCATTTTAGTTGCCCTCCTTTGGACATGCTCCAGTTTCTCCACATCCTTTTTGAATTGTGGTGCCCAGAACTGGACACAAGATTATTCCAGGTGGGACCTAACCAAAGCAGAATACAGTGGCACTATTACCTCCCTTGATCTAGATACTATCCTTCTACTGATGCAGCCTAGAATCACATTGGCCTTTTTAGCTGCAGTATCACACTGTTGACTCATGTTCAACTTGTGATTTTGGGGTTTTCGTACCAGGATTATTCCTGGTGATGTCTGACCAAAGGAGAATAGAGTGGCGCTATGATTTCCCTTGGTTCAAATCCCTTCTTGGCTATGGCAACCCACTGGGTGACCTTGGGCAAGTCACACTCTTTCAGCCTCAAAAGTAAGCAAAGGCAAACCCTCTCTGAACAAATCCTGCCATTACAACCTGGAGGCTAGAAGTCATGGGGTGCTAAAATGCCCAAAGGGGCTGTGACTATGGCCAATACCAGGTGGAGGGATGCTATTTGCCCTTTTGGGACAGAAAAACCTAGACATTTGGGAACATGACAAAAGATTGGGATGGGTAGACATAGGACTCCTCACAGGCCACAAAACAGCTTTGGGGACCGACCCTTGGACCACATTGCCCCCATCCTTGTCCTTCCCTGTCTCCTGCCCTCTCTGCAAAGGATTGGATTACGCCAGTGGTCACTCCTAGGCTGGAATCCTCTGGGATATTCCCAGCTGGAGTAGATCCACTACTGAAAAGAGCAGGGAGGTGGAGTGGTTTGAGTGTTGGACGATGACTTTGGAGAACAGGGTTCGATTCCCAGCTCAGCCATGCAAAACCACTGGGTGATCTTGGGCAAGTCACACTCTCACAGCCTCAAAGGATGGCAAAGCTTGCCAAGAAAACCCCATGATAGGTTTGCCTTAGGGTCATCATAAGTCAGAACAAACTTGAAGGCACACCATCACCACAACAACAATAACAACGACAACAGAGTAGATCCATGGAATCAGTTGTTCAGCAGTGAACCAACACACAAGTAAATCCCACCAATCGCATGGGTTTATCTACTTGGGCCGAAAATAACATGAAGGCCCTGGGCTGCATCTACACTACAGAAATAATGCAATCTGGCCCCACTTTAACTGCCATGACTTCATCCAACGGAATCCTGGGATTTGTAGTTTTGTGAGGCAGCAGCACTTTGTAATGCTACAGATCCCAGGATTCCATAGGATGCAGCTCCAGCACTTACAGTGGTGTCAAACTGCATTATTTGTACAGTGCAGATGCACCTCTGGATAGTTTTTTGTTCTTTGATAAAATGCTACCAGTCTGAGCCACAATATTCACCTTGCTTGTCCTTCCATGCAAATCACAGAGAAGAAGCTCTTCTTTGCAACTGTCCCAATTTGGCAGGAGGGACAGTCCTGATTACCCCTCTACCATCCCACTTTTTAAGGTGCTTTTAAAATGTCCCGGTTTCTCTTCCCTCCTCCCACCTTCCCCTTTCTTTACTTGCTGCAAACTGAGTCCGAAGTGCAAAAATAGTTCACACCAGTTAACTCAGCAGATGGGGAGAGAAGAGGAGGGAAGAATCTTGCCCTTCCCTGTAGGCTCAAGCAAAAGCAAACTGCTGCATTCTCTCGTGTCTCTTCTTCCTTGTTAATAACATTTACTATTATGACAACACTCTGATTTTCTTGGCCACATGTGTCCCCATTTTCACCTGTGAAATATCGGAGGGTATGTGGTTATAGCAGTGGTCCACATCTCCTTAGAAGAAGCTCCTAGAATGATCATTCTTTTGCAAAGTGCCAAGGACGTTTCCTTATTATTATTTTGCTATCATTATTATGATTACTGTTTAAAAAGCCAACTTGGTAGAATTAAATAATGTGAGCTCTATAAATGTGTGTGCAGATGGTCTATGATGTAAGTGTACATAAGATATATATATTACGCTATGATATTCATGCCTAATCTTGAGCGCGCAGAGAGAGCGGTTTACATGCTTTGCTAACGTCTTTTGCAAAGACTGTTTCCCCCTAAAGACGGATGTTACTTTGATGGGAATTAACTATGCAAACACTGAATAAAGAGTTTATTTTTCGCTGTCAAGATCTCTGGGGATCTTTTGCCTCTTCCAACGCAAAGGGCAAAGGCTACATCCACGGGGCCTTCTACCTTTGGCTATTGCTCTCTACTTTGGGGTGACACACCTGAGGATGGCACCAGATGCCTCTCTTCCACAATGGATTCTGGAACTGGCACTGATGCCAGCATCTTTACTCTGTAGCGTAAGTTGGGCAAGCCAGGGAAGCAGAGTTTGGAAAAACTTGGCACTACATCTCCCAGAATCCCCAGCCAGAAAAGGTCCAAAAATCAATTTTTCCCCAGGCTCTGCATCAATCCTTAGAGCACCAGGCTGCCATTAAATCTTTAAGGTACCATTGTTTTTTATTTAGCTAATTGGTATGGGTTTGGATTTTGGACTAGAGTTCCCAGTATCCCCAGAATGGCAATTTTTTTCTCCAAAAAAACTTTCCCAAGCTCTGGACTAGTATAGGTGTCTATATATAGATGCACACAGATGTGCACCCAACATGGGGCTAAATTTTGACTATTTTGACTATTATCCCATTATGTTTTAATTGTACTGTTATGTTTTAATTCTTCCTTGGTTTAATTTTGTTTTAAGGGGCGGGAGGGCAGATCATGGGAGGAGGGAATGTTTTTAACTTGGCTTGTTTTAAATGTTGTAACCTGCCTCAATTGCCATGCAGAGGGGCGGGCTATAAATAAAATTTATTATTATTATTATTATTATTATTATTATTATATATCATGGGAATGTCTTCTTACCCGTCTCTTCCCATGGATCGAGGAGGGGAACAATTAACAGACAGACAACATCCGTTAAAACATGCATCCATTTAAAAGGACAAATACGGTGTACACATATTAAAACAATCCACATTTACAATTCATCATTTAAAATTCACAATTTAAAAATCATCTGGATAAGCCATAGAGTTGGAGGATTTTGTGAGGCACCGGCACTCTTTGGCAGAGAAGGCTAAAGACCTTGTAAAACTACAAATCCCAGGTTTCCATAGCATGGAGCTACAGGACATAAAGTGTTGTCAAAGGGCATTGTTTCTACAGTTGATGCACCCTCAGAGGTCACCCATTCCCATTCCCATTCCCATTCCCTTCTGACGTGGGAAATTTACTGCTAGAGCATCTCTGAAAGGTGATCTTCCCTCCATCCCAGGCCATAAAGCAAAAACAGAAAACACGGAAAAGAAGAACGGAACAGATAAAACTTCAAAGCAGATTCTCTGAAGATGCCAGCCACAGATGCTGGCGAAATGTCAGAAAGAAACTCTCCTAGAACATGGCCACACAGCCCGAAAAACCCACAAAAAATGATAGATAAAAGTGCCTTCTTTCAAAAATCTCAGATGGAGGAATGTGAGTTAACGCAATTGCTTCTGCTTAGAACAGGGCAGGGCATTTCATAACAGGTTGGCACTGCCAAGAAAGTCCTCTTTGGGCTTGTTCCCACTTACATTTAAAGCGGCTTGCGATTCGCCTTTGCTCCGTGTCGGTGAATCGATTCCAAAAGGTCTATCGTTCCCACTATGAAAGTGGATCTTTTCATCATTCCCTTGCAATCGCTTCTTTTATGGCACGATTGTTGTTCCCACTAGATTGCAGCGCTTACAAATGCATGTCAATCATCTGCGCGTCATCGGTGACGCAAGCGGAAACA